AAAAAATAACTGTATTTTTACTGGTCAAGGAAACTGATTTGAATTATTGACCAGGAAATTAAAAGTCTTCTCCAATGCCAGAAAATCTGCTAAACTTGATGATTCCACAAAACCTGAGAGAAATGGCTCACAATAGTCCTGTTGTTTCTGCAAGACATCATGACCATCCTACAATGGCTCCATTCAGATCTTCTTGACTGTTTCTTTTACAGTGTGGAAAACAGAGCAAGGAAAATCACATTTCTGAATTACCTAAATAGAGCGATAGAAACTCTACTTGTACTGGAACCAATAATATACACAACATTTTACACATTATTAAGTGGTTTCTTATCTCATATCCATGAGGTGTTAAAATCCCATTTTTAAATGAGGAAAGTTACATAACTTACACATAATCATAAGTTAAGTGACAAATAGTTGAACCAAATCTAAGTGAACCCAGGGCTCATGTTCTTCTCATTACATACTAACACATGTGAATATCTAGAGATGAGTAGGATTTTTGGCTATTTCCCAAAATTAAACACAAAGTTTTGAGAAATTATTTTTTGTTTTAAGTGGTCACTAACTCTGTTTATTCTCCTTCAGCTCTCTGGAACCTATGGATTCTCTTTTACTTCCTCAGTAAGATGAAAATTCCTTCCACACTTTCCCCTGGTTTTCTGAATATTATAGGCCAAAACCAGAGGGCTTTGCAAATGGAGTATGCTGCTGAATCATAGCATTGATGCCTGGCCAGTTATGCAATCAGATAGTGTCAGAAAGAACACAATAGAGTCAGAAAAATATAAGATGAAAAGACTGAATAGTGGAGTACAAAGAGCTATAGATTGAGAGTCAGATACATGTATTTCAGTTTTAACCGCACTTCCAATAATGAAGATTTCTTTAAGGACATTATCAGTAGGCATCAGACACAAAATTAGGGAAAAATGGTAGCTATTCCAGGCAGGAGTTATATTCTTCCAGAATACAAGGATAAGCCCACAATATCTATTAAGACATTGGAACACTCCCATGCTCGTTGTTTTTGCGTTCTTTTATCCCACACTTAAGTCAGTTTATGGATCCAAAATCCCTTGAATGAAGGGAGACTAGGTCCCCTTAAGGAAGGACCTTGGTATGCTTCCAAAACCTTTTACTGTTAATCCCATTCTGATCTAAAGAGTCCTAAAATCTTTTACCAGGATAGCTGTACATTGTGGGAAAGGAAGTAACTACTCCTTATAGAGCCTAGTGGGCACTGGCTCTGGATGGGAGCTGTGCTTTGGAGATCCAAAACAGCATTGTGGCTCTTCAGTCAAAGCAGGGACTTGTGGAGGTCAGGTAACCAAGAGTTTTAGCCTAGGCCTGACTCACAGTCCCATGATCATTGTTAAAGGAACAATGCCAGGGGGTCGAGGGGCTGCTCCGGGACTACTTCTGCATTATTCCACCAACACAGCCAGGGCCACTGGGTTGAACTAGGTCTGTCCCATACCTGCTGCTAAAAATTTTAACATCACCTTTCCTCTTGGTCTTAATATTTCCTTAGTGTGCATTTCCCACACATTAATACTATTGTATATGCTAGCTGAGTTTATAGCCACATGGGAAGCTACAGACCACAACTAAGAATATTGATGTCAGAGAATTGAGCATGGAGTCATAGAAATTTGGACTGGTTTTGAATCCATTGTCAGCCTTGAGCCAGTCGTGTCAATACTTTGCCTCACTTTTTAAATTAAAACAACAAGAAAATGAAGCCACCCTTATGTAACTCATAATATCATTGTTATATTATTAATTTCCTCATCTGCCACAGAGGTAAGTGAACAAAACCACTTCTGTCTGGACCATCTGTTGAACAAAATGATCAACTCAAAATATACTAGTGGAACCGAGTCTGCCAATGTCCTGATTTCCCTTAGATTTGTTGGCATCTTGAACCAACCCCTAACCCAAAAGCTCTCCCAAGAAATTAGAGATAATGTAGAAAGGAGAGGTGAGTACCTAAATACTCTGCAAGACTTAGGAAAAGATCTATCAATCTAAAAAGAGTATCTCCCAAAAATCCCACTAAGGATATATTTAAAGTACCCCAGTTATATCTATCTTAGCTGTATAAAAATAGAGGTGACAGAGGGTGCTTCAAAATATCAAATCCACTGCCACTCATTCTAAGGCTAGGCTCTGCTTCCTTGTATTCTAAAAACTATTTTCTGCTGAGAGGCCACAAGAAAAAGCAAATGATAAGGATTCATATTCATTAATATTAAATTATAAGCTAATTGGATTTACCATAGCATAGGGATATTAATCACAACTTGGAAAGCTTGCAGTGAAGAAGCAACAATAGAGCAATAGTGATTTGGATTCTATTTGAGTGCAGGCTCGGTCTTTTCTTAATTAATATTATTGTTGTGCTGGGTGGGGGTGCATTGTAGCATTTACTTACAATGTATCAAATATATCATATTTGAATTTACTCCCTCCACTGCTCTCCTTCATTGACCCTCCCCTAGTTCTTGGAACAATTTCAACAGGTATCAGTTTTGCATTTACATACGTGTATACATTATTTGCACCATACTCACACTCCGAACCCTTTCTCCATCACCTCCGCACTCCCACCGATGCCAACACCCCCCTCCCCAGGCAGAACTTGTCCCACACTTGTATTCTCTGATTTTGTAGAACAAAACACATAAAACATAGAGAAGAATGGTGGTTTTGCTAGTTTGAGATAAAGATAGTTATACAGAGATATTCCTTGTGTTGTTTCCATGCATATATGTATTACAACCCCGATTGGTTCATCTCTACCAGTGCTCTTCACTTTTCCTTAGGCCCCTTCCCATGGTGGTCCTGGCCAGTTTAAGATTTCCATATTCATTCCTATAAAAGGAGCACATCAATCCCATTCAAATTTTTGGTTTCCTTCCCTTTCCCTATCCTTCCTATGCGTGGCCTACTCTTAGTGTAACCTGTGTCCCATAATATTGCAGCATTTGTTGTAGGTCTATAATCCACATATGAGGGAGAACATGCAGCTTTTGGCCTTCTGAGCCTGACTAACTTCACTTATGATGATGTTCTCCAGTTCCATCCATTTACTTGCAAATGACAAAATTTCTTTCTTCTTCACGGCTGAGTAAAATTCCATTGTGTATAAATACCACATTTTCTTAATCTATTCATCAGTAGTGGGGCATCTTGGCTGTTTCCATAGCTTTGCTATTATGAATTGTGCTGCAGTAAACATGGGTATGCAGGTGCCTTTGTAACCTGACTCACATTCTTTCGGGTATCCCTAGGAGTGGGATTGCTGGATCATATGGCAGATCTATTTTCAGTTTTTTAAGGTGCCTCCACATTTTTTCCATAGTGGTTGTGGTAGCTTACATTCCCACAAGCAGTGTATGAGGGTTCCTTTTTCCCTGCATCCCTGCCAACATTTGTTATTGTTGGTGTTCTTAATGAAAGCTATTCTAAAAGGAGTGAGGAGGAATCTAAGTGTGGTTTTGATTTGCATTTTCATTGTGGCCAGGGATGGTGAACATTTTTTCATGTGATTTTTAGCCATATGGACTTCTTCCTTTGAAAAAGTTCTGTTCAGTTCAGTTCCCCATTTCTTTATTGGGTCATTGATTTTGGGGGGAATTTAGTTTTATGAGGTCCCTGCATATTCTGGTTATCAGTTCCTTGTCTGATGTATAGCTAGCAAAGATTTTCCTCCCATTCTGTGGGCAGTCTTTTCAATTTAGAGACCATTTCTTTTGTTGTGCAGAAGCTTTTTAATTTCATGTAGTCTCATTTGTCCATCCTTTCTCTTAGTTGCTGAGCTGCTTGAGGGCTACTGAGGAAGTCCTTGCCTATGCCTATTGCTTCCAGTATATTCCCTGCTCTTTCCTGTACTAGCTTCAAGGTTTCAGGCCTGATATTAAGGTCCTTAATCCACTTTGAGTTGACACTAGTACAAAGTGACAAACATGGATCTAGTTTTAGTTTCCTACAGGCAGATAACCACTTTTCCCACCAACAGTTGTTGAAGAGGCTGTCTTTTCTCCAGCATATGTTTTTGGCATCTTTGTCAAAAATTAGGTGGGCAAAGCTGCATGGTTTCATATCTGGGTCCTCTATTCTGTTCCACTGATCTCATATCTGTTTTGTGCCAGTACCATGCTGTTTTTATTGCTATGGCTCTGAAATATAGTTTGAATTCGGGTATTGTGACACCTTCAGCATTGCTCTTTTTGGTCAGTATTGCCTTGTCTATTCACAGTCTTTTGTGTTTCCAAATGAACTTTAGGGTTGATTTTTCAATCTCTGTGAAATCTCCCAATGAATGTCATTGGGATTTTGATGGGAATTGCATTGAACATGTAGATTGCTTTTGGTAGTGTAGCCACTTTTACTATGCTGATTCTGCCAATCCATGATCATGGGAGATCTTTCCACCTTCTGTATTCTTCTTCGATTTCTTTCTTCAATGACTTGTAGTCTTTCTTGTAGAGGTCATTCACATCCTTTGTTAAGTTTACTCATAGGTGTTTGATTTTTTTGAGGCTAATGTAAGTGGAGTTGTTTTCCTATATTCTTTTTCAATCTGTTCAGTGTTGGTGGATAGAAAGGCTACTGATTTTTGTAAGTTGATTTTGTATCCTGCTACTTTGCTGAAGGTGTTTATGGTATCTAGGAGTTTTGGGGTGGAGTTTGTCAGGTCTTTTAGGTATAAGATTATGCCATCTGTGAATAGGGATAGTGTGACTACTTCTTTACCTATTTGTATTCCTTTTATTTCTTTTTCCTGCCTTATTGCTCTGGCTAGGAATTCCAAGACTATGTTGAATAGGAGTGGGAAGAGTGGACACCCTTGTTTCATTCCTGACTTTCGGTGAAATTATTTCAGTTTTTCCCATTAAATATGATGTTGGCTATAGGTTTGTCACATACACAGGCTCTATATTGATTGCAGTCAAGTTTCTACTGAGCCTCAGATTTCTTATTAATATAAAGGGGGAAAGGAAGCCATGTTTATCTCCTCATAGTACTATTGTGTTATGAGAAGCCTTGGAGTTTTGAAACTCTGTAAAACAGAACATAAAAATCAACTGTTACTATCCTGGCAAGATGGCAGCTCAAAGGGAGAAAATAACAAGGATTTGTATTTAGATATTTTTCTTCTTGTTTTATTTTAATAAATATTGCACAATTCCCATAGGAAAGTCTAAGATCAAGTTTATACTGACATAAAAGGACAGCCATAAAATGTTTGCCTTTGGGATAAAGAAGAGAACAATAAAATGGCTGAAGATGTAGCTCAGTGGTAGAGAACTTGCTTAGCATATGCAAGGCCCTGGGTTTGCTTGCAAGTACCACAAAAATAGGTGGGAGAGAGTGATAAATTAACTCTTAATATAGAGTAGTACAGAGAAAAAGAAGTGAGAGGCAATATAAATCACACAGAAGATAGGAGGACCAAAAAATCAAGAGGGTACCTTTTTAAACTTGAATGTTCTTCTTTTCAGAGATAAAGTTAAGTTCAGGACAGCTTGCTTTAATTATAATGGCTTTGGGAACATGTCATATCCACAATGAAAACTTTATACACCATCATCCACTGGTTGATCATCTAGAAAATAAATTCCAAGCAGAAATTAAAACTATTGGTAAGACTCAAAAATTCCAAGCACTTAGATTACCTTTTCTTCTCCTCTGATTTAGAACTCATAAAGTACCCCTCCATCAGATCCTCCACTTCATCCCACTCACTCCATTGTATCTTCGGAGGTCACTTTCCCTTCTTCCTTCAATATATATCTTGAATTTTCTTTTTAATTATATTCAAGTGAAAATTATCTATGTCAAGTACTCCTTTACATACAATGGCAGATAAACACATAGATGCACACAAGACACAATTCTTTAGTCTTCCAAGAGCGTGGATTTTAGAAAATAATGAATTCACCAAAATCAGATGAACAACAAAGGACGCTATGTTATAGATGCTCATATAAGAGTTGTAGATTGCCAAGCACATTAAACTGGGAAAAAATAGTTTAGCTATGTGGCTGCTAGTGAAGTGTATTGTTTTTATTTCAACTCTTACCCAATATTTGTCTTATTATTAAGTCCCTCCAATCCCATCTCCCTTCAAGATGTCTCCAAGCTGTGCTTCTATTTACGGTTACAACTTTACTATTGAAAATGCAGGCAGCTTGGAGATAAGAAACCAGTATCCTACTCCTAGATCTGTAATTATCTGAATGTCTGGACTATACTTTATCTCTATAGTGTCAGATCTCCTTGCTTATAAAATAAAAGGATCTGAGTTGAATTTGGTGGCCTCTAAGGCCCTTTACATTTCTCAGGCTTGCTCATCATATTGGTGATCTCTCCCTTCTGTTACTTGCCTCTCTTTAAATGTAGAGAAATGAGAATAAAATACATAGCAGTAGGTTGAAAACTGTAATAGCTCACAGAACTTCTGTAAATAAAGTATGTATTCTCCTCTCTCTCACAGAAGAACACAATGGTAATCCGCTGACTAACTACCACCAGGTCAGCCTCAATGTTTTGGCCTTGTATCTGTTCAATGGAACATACTCACCACAGTTTCTGAATTCCTTGCTCCTAAAAATAAAAAACTATTATTTTCATGGCCAGTTTTCAGCAGGTGAGTTATTAAATCCAATTCTCTTGGTACACAGGACATGGTCACTAGCAGTTCTTGCTCATTGGGTTTTTCTACCAAAATCACTTGAGTTTTTTTTTTTTGTTTGTTTGTTTGTTTTGTTTTGCTTTGTTTTGCTATCCTCTTTACCCTAATCCTCTCAGGAGAGAATTTCAATTTTCATTGAGGAATAATATATAATGAGTGGCAATTAAGACTCTTCCCAGATTGTGGTATAACTAAAAGACCTAGTTCCTACTCCAGATCATGGCCTGAATTTTACTAACTACAAAATAAGGATAGAACATGATAATATTTATACAAAACTTTTTAAAAAGTATAACAGTTTCAAAAAGAAAGTTAAGTGGAATTCATTAGCTGCCTCTGTCTCTAGTTTAGTGGGACAATTTGAATATATGCTGGTTGACTTGAACAATAACCTTCCAGGACCAAGTATAATATTTTGATGGATAAAATGTGTATTCATAATGGAGAAGGGCCAATTTTATACTGCATCAGTTTAAGCATCCAAAGAGAAGTCTCCTCTGGACACCCAAATTGGTACTCAGCCTCTCTAAATCCAAATACATACATTCATCTTTTTTCTTAAGAAGTTCAAAGAAAATCATCATTTACTTTTTCTGGATAGTAAAGAGAATGTGAGATTTCTCACACTCCTTTTCCTGTAAGAGTGGGAAGGTACAATACTAAAAGAAACAGAAGAAAACAAATATCAAGTCAGAAAAAGACCCCTTATCCTCTCTTCTTCCCATCTCGTTCCTCATCCTCACAGTTAAAGTTGTTAATTGGAGAACAGTTCTATAAAGTATCCCTCTATTCTCTGCAATGGAATGATTGGGAACATATAAAGAAATTTTCCTTGCTATATCATTCTGGGTTTTCTAAAATCCTTTGCAAGATGGCTGAAAGATGAGAGCAACCAAGATCTAACAGTGAAAAGTAGCGTGTATATGCATTTACAAATCCACATGAGTTTTTACAGTCAGAAAAGAAGTATTAATTAGGGGTTGCATGGCAGCTCACCATAGGAAAGGAAATGAAATATCTGAGTGGGCATTTTTGGGAGATGGTTACAATATCTTGAAATTCTTCTCTCATCAATTAGCATGACTAATATTCCCAGCTTTGTTTTGTTTTTTCAAGTCTGTCCCTCTTTTAGCCCTGAAAGTCCTGCATGTGAGGAAACCTCCAATCCAAGAAAAATTGGGTGTTTGGTCACCTTAACACTAATATTTTCTTTCTTGAAAGATAATAGCACAATGACTGTCCTGGCTTTGACATGTATGAAGAGAAGGCTAATAAAACAGCAGACCAAAGCAGATGAAGGTCTAGAGCATACTGGTAATAACATACAGTCCCTGATAACAAAGATTCTGTCTGAGAAAAAAGAAAATGGCCTCATTGGAAACACATTTAGTACAAGAGCAGCTGAGCAGGTAAGTCAGGGGGTAAAACAGGAGGCAAAGAAGAGAGTCATGGAGGAAAGCAATACCTAGAACCTTTCTTATTGTCCTCGTAAGATCTTAGTATCCATAATGTGTTTGCTACACTAATTTTGATTTTGCTTATTTGATTTCCCTCCCTGAAATATATTCTTCTTTCCTTCAGTCTTTACTTCTCCATACTCAATGTGTTTATGAAGCTTTTCCTAACTACAATTTCGTTATGAAATTTGAAGGGCCACTGCCACCCGTCTCACTTTGTCACATGCAGTTCCACACTTTATCATGCAATATGGCTTGTGCACTCATCTTTCTTCCTCAATCAGATTATTGTTGTAGAAGTAAATAAGTGGCAGTGGTAATAGCAGAGGCTACTATTTGTTGATTAACTTATTAATGCACATGACAACACAATAAGGAAAGGATCATTGCTTCTATTTCCTAAAAAGGAACATGAGTCACAAAGGTTCAGTAACTTGACAAATTTTACAAAGCCCAGAAAATGAGGCAAATAGAGATGGAACCTTGATACTTTTTCTCAGTGCTTACACTCATCACCCACTCTGTCATAAATGCATTTCTTGAAGTCTGGCACTTTAATTCTCCATTCATTCAATGATTTACTTAATTCTAAGGGGTAGATACAAGAAGACAGCGAGAGGTTTATAGAGAAAAAAATTCACTGAGTCATTAGTGTGGATAATTGTTTGCCAGGCAAACATACAATGTTCACAGGAAAAAGAACAACAAGGAAAAGACTGAGAGCCAAGAGATAACAGTATGTATTTTAAGAGTAAGGTGTTCAGTGACACCTTGTGAAACTTTAACAAGATGAGGCTTGGAATATAAACAGGTATCCAAGTTTCTTAATTTGCCTTTCTTAGTTTGAATTTAACTAAAGTATGGTTTCCCATATTTGAATCAACTGAAGATGCTTTTAGGGAAAAAAAACCAAAATCTAAACCCTACATATGCTAGTAAACAGAGATATTGAGGAGTGAAGGATGGGTCTTGGTCTTGTCTAAAAATCCTATAGGTGATACTAATGCACAGCAGGACTGAGAGCAATTTATCTGGAAGGCAATTATTAAGAAAAGAGACAATGTTAGTTTGTTTTCATAATAAATCACAAATGCTTGTTGGTAGTTGATTAGGTTTAAGAACCTCCAAGAAGATGAAAAGGAGAATTTGTCTTTCCCTGGGAAACTACAAAGCATTGTGTTCAAGACCAAAATGTTTCAGTTTTGCCTGCTCACTCCAACAATCTCCTAAACTTTACCACCCCCACAATTCTGCTCCTTCAATTAAGCTTACATTCTGCTACATGGATAATTTCTGTTTAGCAAATTATAAGATTCTTCACTATCAATCAAATTTCACTGATATTCTGGGATTTACTAATCTGGCCCAACTTCCTTCTGCAGGTTGTTTTTCCACAATTGTGTTTAGTGTTCTCTATCTACAAATCCTCCTAGACAGGAGACAAGCCTTGAGATTTTTTTTTACAATGCAGACACTCTCATCACTGCCAAGCAACATCCTTGCCAGTCCTATCTTCGGCCTTTGCTCATGCTCTTCTCTCTCAGTATAACCCCTCTCCTAATTTCACCTCCAAAAACTCCATCATGCCATCAAGGGCCTGCCTCAAGTACTACTTTCTCCAACTGAGCTACTCATTGGCCTCACTAAATGTTTATCAGCTCCTCTCTTCTTTCAAAGGCTTTGCTACTAGATGCTTCTCTTAGGGCATTCATCCCAGGGATCTTTTTATTATAGCTTCTTAACTAGATTTGTTGAATACCTTTTTTATGACAGTTATTTTTTTCAGTGTTGGGACATAGGAATGAATATGGCAGAGAACATTTGTTCTTATTGGAGCTTTATGTTATTAAGCACTTCCTCACCTCTCCACCAAACTATTTTGTAAGTTTCCTGATAGCAAGAAAAATAACTCAGTTATTTAAGCTGCATACAATGTAGTCATGTCCATAAATATTTTCTGAATTATTTAGATATAGTCTGCCTTCTTTTTTGAACTGTCTCTCATTCTCTCTCCCTCTGTTTCTCTCCCACTAGGCCCTCTTTATCTCATGAAATTATAACAATGAAAGAGAATGGAATTGCTAACAAACTCAGAACACAACACTCAAAAAAATTTCTCAGGAAACATTCAATAAGCCAGTTGCTGCAGCACAAATCTTACCTTCCCTGTTCAGAAACACCTACTTGGATGTTAACCAAGATTCACCTTGCATCTGTCTTTCACACATAATCACTAAAGGGTAAATTCTTTTGCCTTTCAACATCACGCCCAAAGTATCTGAGATGTAGGTGTCCTCCATAAAAGTGACCAGGCAAGCTTCTAAAGAAAGTCTAACAAGTCCCAGGGAGAATTCAGTCCACATTATATCATCAGGGATTCCAACCAACTGAGGATTTGTTCTTATGGTGATAGACATCATTCCTGGTTCAAATATTGATACCAAGGTAAGGCTG